ATCAAGGTAATGGCTCACACATTTTTAGAGGTAAGGGAGTCCCAAAGTCCAGGTCAGATGAACCAAGATTGGCAGTTCATATGGCTGGCAGGCAGGTAATATAAGCCGGTCACTGACTTAAGTCCAAAGAACCAGAAATGAAGGACAAGACAGATGCAATATCCAGAGCCCTCAGAGAGCAAACAAGCCTTGCTTTGGTGTCCAATATATTGGAAGCAAGCCACACCCCCAAGGAAACTTCCTTTCAATTGATTGGCTGGCTGCTCATAGACAACCTCATTTTAGAGTTAATTACATTGTATTTGCTCTCATTATGGGGAATAACCACATCTCAGCTGCTAAACCATTGGGAATCCTGGTCCAGTCAAGTTGACAGAAACCCTAACTATCACACCACCTCAGCAGTGACTCTTTATTTGGGGTGAGGGTTAGTGTTCTCATTGCTCTTATGGAGACTGCACATTAGGGTATCTGATGGACTATCCCCCAGCCGTGTAGTATATTGATTGTTCCCTCACTTCATCATTTAATTTGCCCTCCTTGCCTGATATTTTCTGTAACCCAGGAGTTATGTTTAGACTACAGACTTGATTTGATTTAGATTAGGCATTTTGGGCAAGAAAACTGCAAGTTAATGCGCTGGACTGCAAGGTTCGTTTGAACCGCAACATCGGTAGTTCAAGCTCATCAGCCATTCCTTGGAAACCCTATACAGAGTCGCTGTGGCTCAGAGCTGACTCGACAGCACTTAACAACATCATGTAAATGAGCAGCGCTAGGATGCTAAGCAAAAGATTGGCAGTTCAAACCTACCATTCACTCCTTAGGATTTATAGCCTTGGAAATCTTATAGGACAGTTCTACTCTGCCCTAAAGGGTCATTATGAGTCAGAATTGGCAGTGCAATGGATGGATGCATGATGTATTTTATTTCAATCAATCAGTCGGCAAACAACATCAGGTTGTCGCATCATGGTCCTTAGATAGTGCAACTGGTTAACCGATTGAACATGTGTCAGAGTGGAACTGTGCTCCACAGATTTTGTTTTTAATGGCTGATTTTTCAGAAGCCTTTCTTCTGGGCACTTTGGCATGGATTAGAATCTCTAATCTTTTCTTTTGGTTAGCAGCCAAGCACATGAGCTATGTATGTGCACCCCTCAGGAACTCATGTGTGTGTGTGTGTGAGTCCCCACACCCATGTACCTGCACGTGTATGAAAGAGCGAGAGACAGATTTGGTAAAATGTTAAAAACTGGTACATCTTGGTGAAGGACATAGGAGAGTCCATTGCATTATGTTTGCAACTTTGTTGTAGGTTTTGGGTTTTGTTTTCTTTTTCCAAAACAATAATTCTGACAAACGCCACAGTTATGCAATAATCTAACTTTGTACTGCTCGTGGTTGGTTACGTAGCAGAATCAGTTGCCGCCAAGTCAATTCCAGCTCAAGGCAGTCCCGTATGTGTCAGAATAGAACTGCATTCTACAGGATTGCCAAGTCTAGACTTTTGGAAGCAGACTGCCAAACCTTTCTTCTGCAGTGCCTCTGGGTGGACTCGTACTTCTAACTTTTCAGTTGGCTCCACAGCAACCAATGGTGATATGGTTATATCACTCATGTGATACAAAGTTAGGTTCATCTATTTCTCCTTCTAATCAATTTTAGTTTTTCTTTTTTCCTCATCCTTATTGATTTTTATCTTTTTAAAGCAAACTTTAAAAAAAATTATAAATCAAGTGAAGGTTTACAGAGCGGATCATGTAAGTTTTATCTTCAGCAGATCATATACTTCATTGCATTTCACTGATTGCAATCCCCTCCATATAACATCACTTAATCCCACATTCTCCCTCCGAATCTTGTTTTCATTCATTCCTTCCTCCTTCCCAGCCCTTCTAAACTTTGTCCTTAGGGAAATGCTGCCCTTTTGATTTCTAATGGTTGAATGCATAAAATCTTCGCTCCTAAAGTCAAGTCGAAGGACGATACAAAGGGGGCTTCAGAAAGTTTGTGGAAAATATCTATTAATTTCCATGAACTTTTTTGAAGTTCCCCTCCCCCCTCGTGGGTACTCAGAAAACTGTTCTATATGCCTTCCTTTTTACTTTCAACTGCCACCTGTAGGTAGTCAATTACATTAGTCTGAGCTTTGTTTCCACCCCCCAACCCCCCAAAATGTCTCTCACTGAGTCCTAATGTGGCGCTGTGGGTTCAGACTGCAAAGCCATCTGAACTAAAGGTTGGTGGTTCAAGTTCACCAGCTGCTCCTCTGAAACTCTATACAGGGTCATTATGGGTCAGAATCGACTTGACGGCACTTAACAACAACAATTTCTCTCATTTGGGAGCCTGGTGGTTGGCTCCATAGCATAACCACAAGATCAGTGGTTTGAGTCCACCAGCCGTCCTATGGAGAAAGATGAGGTTTTCTGCTCCCACATTAAGATTTAAAGCCCCAGAAACCCTATATAGGGTCACTATGAGTCTAAACTGACTCTGTGGCACTTAACAACAACAACAGCGACAATGTGTCTCTTTAAGGAGTCCTGGTGGTATCGTGGTTAAACACTCAATTGCTAACTGAAAGTTTGGCTGTTCAAACCCAACTAGCAGCTCCACATAGAAAGACTTGGTGATTTACGCCCCCTTACAAAGATCACAACTTTGGAAACCATATGAAGCCACTCTATTCTGTCATACGAGGGCCTTATGAGTCCTGGTGGTGCCATGGGTTAAGCATTGGTCTGATAACTACAAGGTCGGCCTTTCAAACCCACCAGGTGTCCTGCAGAGACAGACGAGGCTATTTGCTTCAGTAGAGATGACAGCCTTGGAAACCCTTTCTAGAAAGTTCTGGCCCTGCAGGGCTGCTATGAGTTGGGGTCAACTCGATGGCAGTGGGGGCGGGGGGGGTGTGTCATGAGTCCTGGTGGTGAGGTGGGTTAAACCTAAAGGTCAGCAGTGTGAACCCACCAGCTGATCTGTGGGAGGAAGAGGATCTGTTTCCGTAAAGATTCACAGACTTGGAAATCTTTCTGTGGCCATCCTGTTCTCTCCTATGGGACTGCTATGAGTAAGAATAGACTCAAAGGCTGTGGGTCCTTTTCTGTTTTGTTTGTTTGTTTGTTTGGCTAACATAAGAATCAACTCAATGGCACAATCTCCCTAGGAGCCTATGAATATTTTCCAACACCAACGTTTTCCCTAGGACCTCATCCTTTAGGGTTTACACACAGATCCTCTTAGGCTAGAAAGCTTTCTTTATCCTAACCCTCCCTGGTGGGGCTGGTGCATCACCAGGTGTGAGAATGTTGGTCATGGTCTATATTATAATCTTGAGTTCCCGGAGGGCAGGTGTGGGGTGAGGCCAGAGACATTGTTTGGAGCATCAGGGGGTTCTCTGAATGTAGTCAAGGTTCCATACATCAAACCCAACCCAACCTGCTCTAGTCAAGTCACTTCTGACTTGGAGTGGGTCTGTGTTGTTGTTGTTATGTGCCGTGGAGTCGGTTCTGACCCATAGCGACCCTGTACAGGGTTTCTGAGGCTGTAAATCTTTATGGGAGCAGAAAGCCTCATCTTTCTCCGCGGA